TTTAAAATTTAAAATATCAAAAGGTCAGCGACATCAAAGATCTGTGATATTAAAAAGTTAGTTTAGAAATCACTTTTTCATAGAAAACGTAGGATTGATGATTCTTTTTTACAGCAAAAAGAGGAATCAAGAAAAAAATTTTAAACCTATTAATGAAATATTATAAAACATTTACAAATTAAACTATTTCTTTTACAAAATTGCAAGCTTGTCTGTGGAACACATACCTGAAATTAATTTTTCATTAAAAAAACCTGCCATTTTGATAATAATATATTTTGTGGTATTGGGCCAAACATGAGTCCTGGCTGTAGTCCTATGGCAAGTCAAGATTCTAAAAGGAGTTCTATTTCAACTTTAATTAACATTTAACAAAGAACATAAGATCATAATTAAGAAAAATGACGAATTATTAAAACAAAGAAAGGCGTGAAACATGTTTAATTCTGATCATTTCTCGGCATTGTTTTTGTATTCGTGTTCAGAAATGCTCAAGTAGCATTCTTAGAAAACCTCCAATTGAAAATAATAAGTTTTTAAAGGAATTGAGTCTTTGTAACAAACTCTGATTTTCTAATACCTATATTTTTTCCACCTGATGGTGTAAACCTTTGATATTTTAAACTTAGATTTTTTCATCTAACAGAATTCATAGTTTGAAATATCTGAGGTCTACGACATTGGGTTACAAAGATATTGAGATTAGAAAATCATAGTTTGTAACAAAGATTCAATTTCTTTGATAAGAAAGCTTATTCATTTTTGATCAGACTTCTGTGCAGCGGACATACGCTTACATATGGTCCCTTCAATAAGATTTGTAGTTTATTAAAGCCTGGTGGCCCAATATACCTATAATTACCCCGGTGGTTGGCAGTCAAGAGAATATAATTTAGAATAATTTAATTAAATATTCATAAATTCAATAAGGTTCAGGGATGAAAAGGACCAGTTAAACTTAATATTAACATTTCTCAAGATTAAAGTTTCAAATTTAATCTTTTAATTAAAAAAAATTTAATTATTTTAAGTTTTTAATTTTGAAAATTACTAAATGTATGTAATTTTACTGAATTTATGTTATGTCAAATAACTGATCTGGTCCTTCCAGTAGCTTATGGACTTTGGTAGTTCAGGATTCTTTTATTTCTCAATTTGAATTTACAGCAGAAAGGAAATCTGTTCTGTGGTACTTTTTTCAGTAAGAAGAAAAATGGTTGCAAGCAAAGGAAACAAAATCATTACTTGAAAGAGAGACTGAATGGAAATTTGGAGGTTTTCTTTATGAAGTTTTTGGTAAATATAAATCTATATCTGTCTGTTTATATAAATACTAGCCTTCGCGCCCATCTTCAAAATTAATTGCGAACATGTTCTCTTTGTGTACATCGTAAAACAAAACAAAAAAATTCGCGGATTTTCACAAAGAATTTTGTGGATTTTCATAATTTTCAAAAATTCAATGAAGATCGAATTTTGATGGAGACAAATATTTGAAATTTTGATCATTTATAAACCTTCCCTGTGGTCACGTGATGTCCCACAAAAAATTTGGGCCCGATCGCTTCAGCCGTTTTGACGTTTATTGGATACAAACAAACAAACAGACACCCAGACAGACAAGCCAAATTTATATATAGATTAATCTATATCTGTCTGTTTATATAAATACTAGAAATTAAAGCGCTTCGCGCCCTTCTTTCTAGGCTTTTAGGGTGCTTTGCGCCCATCTTCTAAATTGTGAACATGTTCTTTTTGTTTACATTTTAAAACAAAGAAGAACAAATTTTTGCGGATTTAAAAAAAAATCGCGAATTTTCAAGAATTCAAATTTTTTTTACAAAATTAAAAACCTTTAAAACACTTTTTTTAATTTTTATCATTCATAAACCTTCCCTGTGGTCACGTGATGTCCCACAAAAAATGTGGGCCCGATCTGTTCAGCCGTTTTGACGTTTATTGGATACAACAAGCAGACAGACACCAAAACAGACAGACATGCCAAATTTATATATAGATTAATCTATATCTGTCTGTTTATTTTTGTTTCTATCCAATAAAGTTTCAACTGTCTGAACATTTTTGTCGAATGTTTATGCAGACTGGTTTAAGTTAGTGTTTGTTGATCATTGGACCAAAAAATCAATCGTTTTTCGTTTGGTTTATTATTTTTCCAAACTAACAAACCTTCGTTTTCAGAAAAAAAGGGTTAAAACTAACGTCCTGATCGTTTTAGACTTGTGAAAACGAAACTTCGAAATTAAAGTTGTTTCACTGAAAAAACTATCGTTTTAGAAAAAATAATTCGCAATAAAATATGAGTTTTTAAAGATTAAATTAACATTTTTTAATTTTTTTTTGCTACGTCATTAATGAAATGAAATGAGTTTTTAAAAGTGAAAATAAACCATTTCTAGTTATAAAATCAAAATCAATTGCTTACATCATTTTTTTGTGATTTTTATTTTATTTTAAAAATCCACAAATATACGCAGAAAATTTGTTAAAAATTTTATTCCAATTACAACTAATCTTTTAAGTAGAAATAATGATACTTAAGAAATATAACATTACAATACCTTTAGCAGTATAAGGGTTAAATATATATTCAAAACATATGGCAGGAAATTAGAATACAAATTATGAAATTATTCATTAATTTAAATATTCATTAAACTTTCATATTTGCTGCAGTTTAAAGGTTTGGTTTACAAAACTTGATACTAAACTAATATTAACTTTAAAACAAATTCATGAAAATTGTCAGCCCAGCAATTTGAAAAGTTGTTTTTTAAGATGTATTAGTTTAAACATGTTCTTTATCCTATTCTATTTTGTCTTCTTGGTATTGGAGTTAGAAGGAACTTCTATGAAATATCTTTTTAAAAGTTGGAAGTCTTTTAAAATTTAATTAAGAAGTAAAGAACTAGGGCAGGGTACGTTCAGATTTTTCAGACTCTATATCCAGCGTTCAATCGTCAAGTATGACGCGCTTAAAGTCTTAAAAAATTCTCCAGCTAAGGTTTAGCCAGCACAGTAAACATCTCAAGTTAAGCCTGTAAGTTCTTTTTGAAAACAAAATTTTGTGCGAATTGAGTTTATCGATAAAAAGATTAGATATCAAAATAAGATTTAACACTGAATAGCCATATTGATGTTTGCAATGCACCTTTGAATGGATGCGAACTTAGCAATAGAACATTATTGTTACCTTCAATCAAGGTAATAAGGCAAGGAAAGTTAATTGCGGTTGTGTATTTTCTGCGTACATATTGAAACCAGTTCTCTCTGGGCGGTATTTGTAAACAAGAAAAGTTGCATCAGTGTTCCTTGAGTATTCGAGTAGGGTAAAATCATTTAATTTTGATAATTCACACAATAGTTTCCTATGACCAGAATATTTCATGGATTTTTCATGTGAAAGATGGATCCCATGTCAGGCTGTGACATCCGTCTTTTGTTTAATTTATCGACCAGAGACAGTAAATTGCAATACTAAAAATGCGAACACCTCTTAAATAACTATCTTTACATTATAAGTCTTTGCAGGTCTTTGCTTACAATCAATTAATATTTCAATATTTCACAATATAGAGTGTACTGCAGTTTCTGGGAGGAATGTAAAAAAATACCATTCCTCCCAGAAACTGCAGTACACTATGGAAGTTCCATTTATATTCCTTGCATATCATACAATTTAGTTGAGTTCAAACTTTGATTATTACTGTTTTATCTGTGGTTTTACTTTACTACACTTTAGTTGTATGTAATGTATATAGTTTATAAATTTTGTACCTGCGGTCTAATAGAGTTAGAAATACATACAATTGAGTTTACTGCAACAACAGGAAAATGGATTCATAATCTCAGAACTAGAAATTTATCCTTAAAACTTAGTTTACCATATAGACTACAAACACTAAAAATTTTCATAAAACAGGTTGAGCTGTAACGGCTACATAAATAATTGATATTATATAAAAATTATTTAGAAATAAATATTTTTTTAAAGAAAATAAGATAATTAGAAAAGTTTTAATTTCTGATTGAGCGTGGTTTGAAATTTTTTAGACATTTCATCAGCTGAACCTCTTGATTTTGGCCAATAAAAGAAGACGGGATATATACAATATTGTATAGGTTAATCTCCCCGGAGTAGGAGGGTGGGAGGAGGGGGGGGGGG